TTGCCATTTCCTCTGGAGTCAGACTTGTAAATCCGAATTGATTTGATTTATCCTGAGCTGAGAGAACTCCTGAGCTTTTCCTTCCCACGGTCATAGTTCACAGGCCTCCTAAATAAATAAATAAATAAATAAATAATCCCTTCCATTTGATATTGTGTCGGAAGGATATCTCAAAGCACTTCATAATGACTGTGTGTTTTGTAGGCGAAAGTGGCAGCCAGTTTGTGCTCAAAAGTGTCCCACAAACAGCCGTGAAAGTGAATGACTGAATTTATTTCCCTGGGGATTGTCAGAGACAGGACACCAGAAGAAACGGCCTTCACTTTTCAAGGACTTTTTAACGTTCACCAGCAAAGCCACAGACTGGACCCGGGTTTACCGTCTCATCCCAAGGGCAGCAACTCCGACAATGCAGCACTACGTTGGAGAGTCAGCCTAGACTTCAAGTTTAAAGCCCCGACGTGGGGTTTAAACCCACAATCTTCTGAGTCAGAGGAAAGAGCATCACCAACTGAGCCAGGGGTTGACACCTAAATCCCCAGCCATTGCAGCTTTGATCTCCAATAACAATCAACCAACGCTCAAGTGTTTGACATCAAGGCCATAAGAGGAGAGAATGGGAGGGAGAGAGTAAGAGAGAGGGTGAGGCACATCCAAGATACAGCAAGGAAGGAAAGGGCTTGGATTCAGGAAACCTTCAGGAACAAGATAACCTTTAACAAAGCTTCCACTGACTGATCAAAAATCTATCGCAGTGGTTTTGTGTTTTACGGCTTGGAGAAAACCGAAGACGCGAGTTCTCTGCAGGAAAGCAGACTTAACAATGCTAGGGGGAGGGAAAAGAACACAAGTCATCTACTGTGGCAACGAAATCCTAAACAAATCATATAACCCAGACACTTTAGTCTGACTGCCAAAGCTGCTTTTGTTTGAAAGACAAGGATGTTCTTTTACCAAACTGGCATTGCGAAAGAGCTCGAATGTTGCATTCGCTCTGATTTATATAAAGATATTTCTGTGTGTGTGTTTTGTTTCCACTCGCAAGTATCATGTGAGTTTCTTTTAAATCTCCTTTTTGCTTTTCAAAACATTCTGTGCCTGTCAAGGTCAACTCTTAGGCCCCCAATTCCGGGCTCAACTTGAAGGAGTCTGGTTTGCGGGGCTGATCTGGGACTCCAACTAGTCAGAGATATGCGTGGAAATCGCAGAGATCCAAGATCAGGAGTTAAAGGGATCCTGATTTTATTCAGAGAAAGAATATTTCTTGCACCCGTGCATACGTCCCCTTTAAGTGCTCTTTTTATTGAATCTGACGTCATGCTCCGAGACACTGCCTCGTGTGAAGGGCGCTAATACAAACACAAGTTGTTGTCCCTCTCCTCCTTCAAGGCCGGTCTCAAAACCTTTCTCTTTGACCATGCCTTCAGCTCCCCTCTCGACTCTCTTCCCCCTCCTCGCTCCCTCCCTTCCCTCCCCTCACCCTGACCATTTCCCCCCTCCTCGCTCCCTCCCTTCCCTCCCCTCACCCTGACCATTTCCCCCCTGCTCGGGTCATGACCCAACTGTGCAGCGCCTTGGGACGTCCTCCTGACGTGAAAGGCGCTTTATAAATGGAATCTTGTTGTTGTTGTTGTTGTTGTCGTTGTCGTAGTAAAATCCAATTTTTTTTCTTGGAAACTCAACTCGGCTTGAAACTGCCCCTGTGCCTAACGCTGACGTAAACAGCAACAAATGTTCTGTATCACCAAGAAGTGTTTAAATGTATATATTTCCATCAGCGCACTGGCTCAGTAACTCGCAAGACATAAAATGGGAGCTGCACGCAAGCATAGAACTTTATAGGATGGAAACAGGACATTCGGCCCAACTAAGTCTGTGCCTGTGTTTATGCTCCACATGAGCCCACACCCCTCCTATTCCCCTCTCGTTTCCTCTCCCTCATTTATGCATTGAACTTCCTCTTAAATACTTTGGCTACGATACACAGGGGCTGGGCTCAATCCAAGGCGAATGTGCCTGGCAATGGAGTCAGGCAACTAAGTCGATGGTCTTGGAACCGGACTACTGGTCTCAACTCCAAGAAGACCTGTTTCGCTCGGGGGAGGATAGCCACCAGCAGGCTGAACCTGGCAACAACACAAGGCTGGCTGGTGAGGTTCAGGATTTTACCATAAAGTGTAGTGACTGTGTATTTTGTAGAATAATCATTCTTGTATTTGATAGAGCATCTTATCACGTGGTTGAGACACCTCAAAGCGCTTCACAGGATACACTAAAGTGAATTGACTGTATATTATGTGTACGAAACACAGCAGCCAATTCTGCACAACAGTGTCCCCCAAACAGTCGTGGATTGAAGTGACCAATTTGTTATGTTTTTTAAAGAATTATTACCCCCGGAAAAGGGATTCAACAATCGACTAACAACCAGGTTCTTTCTTACTGCTAGGTAAACAGAGGCACGTGAGTAAGGAAACTTGCCCAACATTTTGTCCTGACGAATGATTATATACAACGATTATTGTATGTTGTTATAGTTTAATAAGCAGACTCCCTGGATTTTCTAGTCAAAGAAGCCGAATTGTCTCCTTTAAGTGAGACTTTTTCTTCTCCCACACAATGGTGTAACTAATTAAGGTTGAAGAAAGGTCGGAACACAGAGTTATTCTAACTGCATCTCTTATTAAGTCATTTTTAATTAGCTGATAACTCCAACAGCTTTGGCCATCTGTCTGTGACTTATCCTCTGTACGTGCAAAGCTGTTTTCCAACAAACCTCATTAAAATCCAGAATAATAGATACCTTTAGTCAAAGAGACGGCAGCCCAGTCAATGGGTTCAAATGAAGGCTTGAACTTTGGGGAAAATTGCTGAGATCAGGCCATACCTCCCAAGACATCTTGACTTCCATCCAGCAGTAATGGCATCTGGCACTTTACATGAAAAGCGTTGCTTTGCGAAGTGCTCAAGGTGTATTTTGTTTGGTCGGGTTCCAAAGCACGGGACTGCCCTCCTGTGTGAAGCGACTGTCGAGTTTGTCAAAATAATTTACAGACGATTAGAGGGCAACGCTGCACTTAACGCTGCTCGCTTTAAGAGTTCAGGTGGCAGAAGGAAATCCGATAGGAACCGGAGGAAGCCATTCCTCCCCTCAATCCTGTTCGGCCATGCTATTAGATCATGGCTGATCTGTACCTCAACTCCAAATACCCACCTTTGCTCCATATCCCTTGATACTCTGACCTAATAGAAATCTATCCACCTCAGCCATGACAATTTTAATGGATCCAGCATCTATAGCCTTCTGGTGGGAAAGAGTTATAATGTCTACTACCCTTTGTGTAATAACTTAGAGGGTGGTAGAGGGTGGTTTAAGAAAATGAAAGGATTTCATAAGGTGGATGTCAATGGAGCGTTTGATCCTTTGTAATCACACTATGTAAGATAAACCCAGCTACAGTGATGAGCATTAATATCAGTCTGTGTTGAAAGGATTGCCATTCACTGCTCCACTCCTCAGGCCACTGCTACTCGCTCGCTCGCTCGCTCACTCACTCACTCACTCATTCACGTAAGTCTCTCTGCATCTCTCTTTTGCCCTGTAATGCACGGCTCTGCTTTTAATTTTGCCAACAAGCCAAGAGCCAGTCTGTTCTGTCTCTGTTCACACTGCAGTGATCTTGAAACTTGTGGAATTATTCCACACCTATTAAATGGATAAATGCTCTGCGAAGAGGAATTAATAATAAATTCTCGTAAAGTTAAATGGATGCATCCCACCGTGTAAGAGGTTAGGAGGATTTCTTTTAATACTTGCGAAACAGGCTTACACTGCAAATAACATACGCGCCTCCACCAACTGAAAGATCTCGTCGCACAGCAAGCTTCGCTAAGTGATCGGGGAAATTGGACACATGCGTAAACCTATCACCGTTGCTTAAGAGCATCCAAGCCAAGCTGTGAATTCCGTGCATTCCACCTACACACGGAAATTCCAGAGATAGGTTATTATGACGGAGCGTGCACTCTCTCCCTGGAGGGATGCATCCTGCTTACCTAATTCCGGAAAGTATTGGCAAGAGCCAAGACTTGGAGACCCCAGAGTGTGCGATGGGGTAACTGCTGAAGTTCGAGCAGCTAAAACCAGCATAGCTTGCCCACTGAGAGCACTGTCTGGCTGTTTGTCCAGCTAGGACCACGGTGCCATCCTTCGCATCAGATGTTAAACCTCAACCTGCGCCTGTTCAGATGGACGTCAAAGATCCTGTGGCACTATTCGAAAAGCAGGGAAGGCGAGTTTCTCTCCTGGTTGCCCTCTCCCAACAATTCCCCAAATAAATTCACTTTGTGACTGTTTGTGGCACATTACTGCGCTCAAATCAGCTTCCAACAAAAACACACAATCACTCCACTTTACATTGGATTCTGTGAAGCGCTTTGAGAGATGTCATCCTGCTGTGAAAGTCGCTGTATCGAATGTGAGGATTATATCAAAATGTAAGGCAACGTGGACATTTTGGCTCATCGCATTTTAGGCACCAAATGGTGGGATCAAGCGCTTATTTTTAAACCCCTGGCGGAGCTGGTAAGCGCTGATTATTGCGGATAAAGCTCTTTCTGCAAAAGCTCAATTCACTTCACCCCAAGGTGTGCCAGGAATCAGAGTCCATGTGTGGGTGAGGGAGGGGGGATCATTTTATTGTGCACACTAGGATCTTTGTCAATGCTCTTTGTTTTTTCTAAGCAAAATAATCTTCGCTCGGTATTTGAGAGATGTTTTTGGAGGAGAGCTCTGTGTTGGTTAGTTTTTATCAGTTGGCCTTGAAATCTATGAGCAGGACTGAGACAAGTGGATTTAACAACAAGGTTTGGATGCTCTGCTGTTTGTGTCTTCCCTCTTCCGCTCTCCCCCTCATTGCATCCTCCTGTTTGGCTTCTTGCCTCTCGTTCCTTTTTATCCCCTTCCCCACCCCGCAGCATTCCCAGCCTTATCACTCCCTTACCTTCCTCTGGCTGCTGTTTGTCTGCCACAGTCTTCTCCTGACACCATCTGATCTGCAGAGAGAGAGCGAGAGAGAGAGACAGAGGGTGGGGGAGAGAGATGGAGAGAGAAGAACAACGAGGTAGCGAGAGAAAGAGAAACAGAAAGCGAACACGAGAAAGATAGCGAGAGAAACAAAGAGTGAGTTAAAGAGTAACAGAAAGAGAGAAAGAAACGGAAAGAGAAAGTGAGCGTGAGAGAGAAACAGATAGAGAGCGAGAGAAAGAGAAATGGGGAAAGGGTGAGCGAGAGAAAGGGAGAAACAGAGAGAGGGTCAGAGGGGGAGAGAGAGAGAGAAAGAGAGTGAGCTTCAAACTCAAAGACCGCATTTAAAAACGTGACCTATTGGGTCCGCTCTGAAATTCTGCATTAACAACAACAACTTGCACTTATATAGTGCTCTTCGGGCAGGGCAGCGTCTCGGAGCGCTTGACAGAGTCAATCTAGAATCGGGTGGGATTTCTACGCGAGCGGGTTTTCGAGTGACAGCTGATCCCAGACCTGAAGACGACAGATCAGCGGCGAAGGAGAAACTCAAACCTCGAGCCTTATGACCGGATCCGCTCCCCAGATCGGTGGCAAACTTTAAATTCTCATTAAAGTAAAAGATTGTGTGTGGGTGTGTGTGGGTGGGGCTGTGTGTGTGTGTGTGTGGCGGGGGGGGGGGGGGGGGGAGAGTGTGTGTGCGTGGGGGGAAGTTAATCAAATTCAAAATATTTCAGGATCTCGATGACAGTTCAACCTTGTGGCCTATTTGTTCTCCGAGCGGAAAACAAACGGTCATTATTTTGGCGATGTTTGTGCTGAAAACTGTAATAAAGGTCTCGGGAGCTCAGCTGTTGCCTCAGATTGTCACAGTGGACTGCATCCCGCTAGTAAAATAGTTATTGAAACCTGATTTCAATATATATTACACTTCTGTTATTACAGTTGTATAAATGTATAAATGGAGTCAAGGTAGGTCTGTTTTCTCCTCTAAATTTACACCCTCGAGGCAATCCAACTGCGTAATGATACTCGCTGCAGAATTCAGACGTATTATTACCCGTGCAATCAGACACCTCACATAGATTAACCAACCACATCCCTTTTATTATTGAGATCGAGCTTTACTTATAAGCCTCATTACAGTTGTCCTCCTGTCCCAAAGCATTGATCACCAGATGGGCCCTTTCCACAAGCTTCAAAGCCCCGAAAAGCTGGTTACCTTGTGTCCAGGGCTGTGTGTCGATGGCGAGAAAACCAATCCCATAGTCGTTCACACACACACACACACACACACACAGTCTCACACACATGCAGTCACACACACACGCAGTCAGACACATACACACACACACACAGAATCACACACACACACACACACAATGTGCAGTCACACACACATGCTCAATCCTACACTCATAATCACACGCGCACACAGCAGTCACACATAGTCATACACAAACAGTCACATATACACACAGTCACACCCAGACCGTGAGACAGTGGATACGAACGATGGCGCCCAACTGACTTAGCTCTAACAACCACGCTGGCAATAAGGAGTTACACAGGCCAGAGTCAGAGGGGGTCAGTCTGGGAAAGAGTAAAGATCCCTCGCTTCTGCTCCAATGTTACAACGACAACAACAGCATTCAACATCAACTTGAATTTATAAAGTTCCCTTCACGTGGGGCAGCGTCTTGGAGTGCTATTCCGTAACCTCAATCTCAGAAGAGTCATTCCTCACTACCCCTCGCAAAATGTCCAAGTAGACCCAGGTTTACATAGAGTGGCTGGAGAATGGGGGAGTGTTGGGATGGGGGGAGTGGGGGGGGTGGGGATGGGGTGTGGTGGGAGCGTGGGGGGGGAGGAGTTCATGTCACCCCAACTGAGTTTCCATTAGTCCTCTGGCCTGCTCGACACTCTCCGGTCATTAAACAAAATGTCAGAGGGAAATAAGCCCGGGGAGATAATTGCTGCTCTATCATACTGGCTGTTGTTTGAATGGATTTAGATACTTTGGTAAATTACTTGCTAAAAATAGAGCCCAGCAGATTATTTCATTAACACGGCTTGGGCAGTCGAGGTTCCTTGCATCATTCATCCCTTCCTCTTCACCATTCCTCCTCACTCTATTCAATCTTCCTTTTCAGCCTCTTAAACTGTCAGCTTTAACATAGGCCCTCACCACACTGGACTGAAGATGCTAAAGGTGCACCTTGGGGCACCCTGGCCTTCTTCCAGTGCCCCCCCCACCCCGTGTCCCCCCAACGCCCCAAACGCTCCATCCCATGCATGGTCAGCGGTGGAGGGGAAATGGGTTTCAGCCACTTTGCCCCCGACCTCTGGAACTCTCTTCCTAAAAGTCCTGACCCCTTTCTCCCCCCGCTTTTATACCCTCTCCTCCACTGTGCTTTCGACCACCTCCAACCCCCCGCCTCACTCCATCTTGGGCTCCTGTCTTTGTGAAGCACTTTATCCTGTGGGAATAAACCATGAAGTGAACGACCAGTTGTATCTGGCGGGGGTGGAATTGTTGGCGGGACACTGGGAGAAACTGCCTTCTCTTTTCAACTAGTGCCATGGGATCTTTGACGTATTGTCCACCTGAACGGACAGATAGCTAAGTTTAACATCTAAAGGACGGCACCTCTGACAGACCAGCACTCCCCCAGCACTGCCCTGGAGAGTCAGCCTAGACTGTGTCGAGCTTGAACCCACAAACTTGGAGGCAAGAGTGCTATACCGACTAAACCGAGCTGCCACCTACATAACCTTCCTAATGTCTCTTCCGCTCTCTATTCTTCTCTTCCTCCGCCTCCCCACTTCCTGAATTTAAATGTGGTCGTGCCTCCTCAACACTTGTGCAGAGCCCCTGTGGCTCGGAGCACTGGAGACCTCTGAGCTCCACAATCCAATAGGAACCCATCCAAGTTCTATTTCCTGCTGCTGCAAAGCTCCTAGGAAATGCCTGGGAAATGCCTGGGATACTTAAGTGGCTCCGGCTCCAATATCCCGAGCTGAAGGCAAACCCTGGAGTGCGGGATTGCGATCTGTGATGGGATAGTCATCACCAGTGGTAATTATTATATCACATCATTGCCTGCACTTTCACCCCGAGCTATTCATGGAATAAACCACCACAAAATGTTGCCTTAAACTGAATAGTGTTGAAAAGCTACTGTACAGTTTCAGAGAACACACATATACACAAACACAAATGATAATAATAATAATAATAATCCGTGCATTTAATACAGCGCCTTATCACGTCGTTGAGACGTCTCAAAGCGCTTCACGGGATATACCGTGAAGTGGATTGACTGCGTGGTTTTGTGGGCGGGGGAAAAAAATAACAGTGGATTAAAAAAAAACAGTTCCCGTGGCTTTATTTGAAAAGAAAAAAAGAATTTATACAGCAGTCACTGCCTGCGGGACTTTGCTGTGAGGAGAAACGGCTGCCGTACTTGCCTACAAAAACAGTCACTACACTTGCAAGCAATTACAAGTGTTTTGGGACAGACCGACGCGACGGAAGGGCTATAAAAACCCGAGCTCTTTGTTCGAAGCTCTGAAGCTCTCGCTGAGAGAATGGAAGCGCTGCTTGTGGGGAAATTAAACTACAAAAGCAGATTATTTCTGCAACAAAAACAATACTGGTTTTGAAGAGGCAAATGAGGGAGGCATGCCCAGCGCTACAGCCTGCCCAGCATCGCGTGTGATGTTTGACTCCCCAAATCTAGGTGCGTTTAGCTTCCAGATCAAAAGCGTTGGATACAACACAGTGCAGCCCTGAAATAAAAAGGGGGAAAGTTACAGTATAATAGATCAACCGCTTCTGAGGAGTCAGGTTTCCAAAGCAATCGTCCCGTGGGCGTCTTTGGCGAGAAGGTGAGGGTTCGACTTTGGGAAAGGGTTGGGATGTATTTGCAGTTTTTAACTCTACATGTTTCGCACACAAACTATACAGTGAATTCACTTTGCAGTATATTCTGTGAAGCGCTGTGAGATGTCTTGAAGACGTGATAAGGCGCTGTATCAAATGCAAGGATTATTATTGTATTATTATTATTATTATTTTCTCCCTGTTTTGTTTATCAAGGAAGACTTGGGTTTAGATTTTACTCTCTTAACGCAGCAGTGCACAGTACGCAGTTACTGCACTTCACGGTAAGACACCGTGAAGCGCTTTAAGATGTGTCAGCGACATGATTACAATAATAATAATTAATATTTTATATTTGATTTAGAGGGAGGACGTCTCAAAGCGCTTCACAGGATATACAGAGGTAGAGATATAACACGTAGACGCATAGTGTCTGTGTATTTTGAAGGGTCTGTATCAAGTGCAAGGACGAATATGTATATTGGAGGGCGTCCAATTGATCCTAAAATCCTTGCATTTGATATAGTGCCTTATCATCTCAAAATGCTTCACAGCATATACTGTAAAGTGGTTTGACTGTGTATTTTGGGGGCGAAACGCGGCAGCCAGTTGCGCAAAACAATGTCCCGCAAACACAGAGTGAGTGACCAATTTTTTTTATTATGGCTGGGGGGGGGGGAAGAGGGGGGAATTGTTGGCTGAGACACGGGGGAAACTCCCCCTCCCATTGATAGAGTGACTTTGTAGTCAGTCTATTGATAGGCTGACTACAAAGTTGTAAGAAACAAAGAAGGAGAGAGAGTGCTCTGCGCTTGGAGAGGGTGTGTATGGCACGGAAGCTCTCTCCCTCATTGTTGCAACAGACCAGGCGAGCACTGGCATGATTTTCTGCCCCATGTGTGCCAAACCCAGGACACAGCTGTGTTTATCCCCACCACCACACACGCACCCCCTCCCTCCCTCCCTCCCTCCCTCCCTCCCTCGCTCACTCACTCCACTTCATTTTCTTACCAAGTAACGCCCTCTGTTTGATCACACTGGACTGCGCTTGCTGAGTCACACAGTTCTTTGGAGTATAAACTGTGGCTTCAGTACTTTTTGACAAGACTTTTTTTTTGTTGGTTCGCACAATAAATGGCAGCA